AGCCATTCATTTGGCAAAATTGCAAGAAAGAATTCATTATCTATAAACAGTGTAGTCTTCATTTGTGTTGAGATAGGAGAAGAACAAGAGAAGTACAAGAAAATATAGAGTGAAAAAGATGAGTAGTATTATATTTAGGTTACTGTAGTGAAAGACAGAGTTGAGACATAGAAAATATTCTTAAGTTTTCAACTATATTCACTATACAAAAGAGATTATTATATGTTGAAGGAATGTGTTCTTTTGTGGAGCTTTGGACTCTTCAACTAATTTGGGTTGTTTGAGTTATACGTTGTTGTTGGGCTGTTGTATCCTGGAGGGGACGAGTCAAGAGTTATACTGTTGGATCGGTGTAGATTATGTCGCAGTGGGCTTGAATCTCTTTAAAGAGAGCGAGATATCCGTGCCTCAGCCTAAAGATTTATTTTACATTTTTGTTCATTTTATTTCAACTGTAATTTATTATATTTGTGGTATATTTTCATCATAATTTTAGATTTTCGATTATGTTGGAGTGTCACATATGTCCATTAAAGGACAATTGATCTCTTTGATATGAACATTTCATTTGTTATTTTTCAAAAATCGATCTTATGCATGGTACATTTAATTAATTGTATATTCTTTTTTAAAAAAAAACAAAATATATATTTTTCATATGATCATTTTATTTCATATATTCAAATTATAACGGATCATAAAAAATCCTTTCCTCCTCATCTTTTTGAATAATAACGGAGGAATGTATAGGGGAAACCTTATAAAGTATATAGTAAAGGCTAGCATAAAATTCAAAAGATCAGAAATATTAAATTTGATAATTCACTATTTATTTATATTTCAAGGTAAATTAAATTATGATTAAAAAAAATCTTTGGCGACAGTATAATTTTTTTTTTTTTGCGAAAACAATAATAATTTCATCTATTCAAAGTCATTAAAGCTTTTCGCATACTATTAATTATAACTATTCATATTTATAGAGTATTGATTAAAAGCATTCATATTTAAAAGAAACTTATTAAGTATTTGATATATCTTTAAAATTGTTATCCAACTTTATCACATTATTCAAGAATATATATATATATATATATATATATATATATATATATATATATATATATATATATATTTATTTATTTATTTATTTATTTTTATTTTTATTTTTGAGAAAGTGAATCATGCATGTGCATATTATGTAATTCCATCCTTGAAAAAGCAAGATTGTCACCATCTGAATTTGACAAATCAGATTAAAGTCAATAAAATCTTTCATGCAAGTGGGACCATTATTAAATAATCATAAATAAAGGTAATTAAATTAAATAATCCTATATAATTAATAGAATTAGTAAATAAATTAAAGCAAAACAAGTAACTATTTATAGTATTCTAAAATCACTATACGACTGCTGAAAAAAATATTTCACTCTTAACAAGATGTCTCGCGTTCGAGCCATGAATATGAAAAGATCCTGTTGGGAGCGATATACTCGAACGGATTTGCATAATGCGATCCAGATTTAATCAGGATTCTAATATGGACTCCAAACACCGATTAAAAAAATATCACTATAAAGAATATGAATTAATCTATCGCTAAATTACACTGATGCTACTTTAATAATTTACACTAATTAATGAAACTAATGACATTTTTTTGTTGTTTAGTTGTGAAAATTGTTTGCTAATTTTTGTTTATTTTTATTGTGAATACATTGGTCAACCATATGAAAAATATTCATTATGCTATTGTTTATGCATATGATTTAATTAATCCTCTCTTTATTACACTTTTTTGTCCTATATTTTTGTTTGGTTACTCTCTCGATTTCTAGATCAATGTCACAAATTATTTGTAAAATTATTACTTTCGCTATTTCTATTTACTTGTCTTATAAACTCATTTTTATGAATCAAACTAATAAATAAGTGGATTAATAACTTATTCAGTAGAAGAAGAAAAAGAATTAGATTTGGATGAAATAGGAGTGAAATCAATTAGTTCATGTTTAGAAAGTCATATAATTGAGTTTTATGATACTACAATTTCGACTTATTTAATTGGCCATGTAACTATTCGATCAGGAGATAATTACTATGCTAATAATTACACAAATTTTAGTTACGACTTTTCAAATTGATCTTATTATTTTTTCTCCTCTTGGATGTATATATACAAGTAATTTGCCACATGGCGTAATTTCATCATCTGCACCTCATTTGAGTAAATGAATTTCAGTCTTTCATTTTTCGTTTTGCCAAATTTTATGCGCAACATGAACTTCAAGCAGTTCATTTGACGCCTCTGGTTATTGCATATTATATTGTATCATATGTTAGTTATTTATTTTGATTGTTATTTAAATTTTATTATATTCATATATTAAATTCATCATTATATAACGACAGCTATACATGCATAGCCACAAGAAATATTTGATCTTGTTGTTCAAGCATAGTTCAAAATAATTTTTCCTCTAAAAAAAGGGATTACCTAAATATAAAAGTTTGATTTTGTAAGGGATTACCTAAATATTAATAATAGTTTGGCAGTTTTTATTAATAATAGTTAGCCATTTTTTTGAATTATTGGGCCTAGCTATTATTAAAATAAATAAATAGAATATATGACTTGTCTATTTCTAGATTTTTTTTTAGGTGAATCAAATTTTTATCAGAAATCCTCATTATGAATTGTTCAGCAAAGTAGTTCCCTACACATGGTGAAATTAAATGTAAGAGACACCTACCATATCTTGCTTTGAGATTATTTTTTTATAATTAAAGAAAATAATTTTAATATTTTTTATATTTTTATTATTTATTTATGTGTTTTTTGTTATTAGTCTCTTTCATCCCTACTTCCAAATCAAATAGAGGTCTTTCTAATAAAATAAAATAAAAAGATTGTGTAGCTCATAATGTTATGTACAAAAATAGCATTCGAATTAAAAAGAGAGATTTTAATGTTGTATACACAAATAACATTCTCATTAAAAAGAAAAAGATTGGTTGAGAGACGGAATTCAGATCAAAATTTTATTTTCTTTTTGTCTGAAATCTTGACATATATCTAAATTGTACCCCTCCCCAGAGAGCTGATGAAAAAGCAAAAACAAAACGATGATTTTTATTTTTTGGAAAATGGAAGCTGAACTTCCCTTTGGTTCTCCCCGAAAGCGACCGACCTTTCTTTTTTGAGCCCATTTTTAAGAAACTCAAAAAAAATTGGAAAATTCAAAAAGAAATATTTTCTAACTCTAAAAATTTTAACAGAATTATTTAGAAGAGTTTCAAAAGAAACCACAAAATTGTTTATCAAAAGTATTGAATTTCTTAAAAAAAATAAAAAAATATTTCAAAAGTAAATCTAATTGTATTATTTAGATTCAAAGATATCTGATCCAATGAAATAAAAAAGGAAAAAGATTATCTAATTAGTAATCAAATAATTAATGAATTATTTAGACGTCTTTCTAATAAAATAAAAAGATTGTGTAGCTCATAATGTTATGTACAAAAATAGCATTCGAATTAAAAAGAGAGATTTTAATGTTATATACGCAAATAATATTCTCATTAAAAAAGAAAAAGGATTGACATAGAAAGAAAGATTTAAGAAATTAGACTTTTAATGTCACATACGCAAATAAAATTCGAAATAAATAGAAGAAATGATTTTAAATTTAATATTACGTACACAAATAACATTCAAATTAAATAGAAAAAAAAGGAGCTAGTTACCATAAAAAAAAAATATTTAAGAAATTAGAATTGGAAAATATTTTGGGTTAAAGTTATGTATACGTATAATGTGAAAAAAATATTATATTATTTAAAGTATTTTTTTGTTTAACCAACAATAATGTAAAATAAAAATAACTAAGTGACTTTTGATTTCAAAATAAAGTGAAATGACTATGAGATAGTTATTATTATTTAACTGACTTTTGTTTTACAAAATAAAATGAATGTATTTTTCTGAAATATAAACTATTATATTTAATATGTATTTTCAAATAAATCGATAGACAATACATATAGCATTTATTTATGTATTTGATCTTCAACTTGTATATATTTATATTTTATATTGAATATTTAGTGCGTAAAGTATTAGTATTATGATATAATTGAGATATTTTGTGAAAAATTAAAGTCACAATTCTTTATGTTATAGGAATATATGCAAATTGAAGTTGACCAAACTATAATAATGATTCACCGGATCTAATGTTAGATCCAGGAATCCTACCATTTTTTCGAATTACAATACCGTAAAATATCATAATGAAACTTTAAATATCAAATCATACTGAATTAATTTGGTATGAAGATAGTATAATATTTTTAAAAATCGAAGATAATAATTACCGAACCATTAAATATCATACCACGCCTACCCGGGTAGCCCTATGACTCACATCATAGATACAATTTCATTTCTTAATTAAGCCTTAAACTAAGTAAATATGTTCGATTATATAATTTTGAATCGCCTAACCAGCTATATGTACGATTATAGCCAAACACCTATCTCATGCATGTTGTTATTGACTTTAATATCGCGCTAAAACCTACAATAACTTTATTTTCTAACTAAATTATCAAACTGTTAAACTATGACTCCGTCCTTAACTATCTCTCACCCTATCACCTATGCTTCACCATATAATATCATTATTAATATCATAACAAAACTCATGGTTTCGATGCCAATATACAAAGGGAACAAAAAACCATCAAAATTAGATCATAGACAACTTCATAAAGATACTTTATTTCTTGGTCATCACTTTGCTCATCAATGATAAAATTAATTAATTAATTAATCGATGGATATAAGTAGGACCACGTACATATCATTCAGCTTAAAAATTATAAAAAACTCAACTATAGTCTATAGTCACATTTCCTCTAATTATTTACACCAAAAAATTCAACTCTGTTTTAATTATTATTTGAAATAAATACCAGCACGTTACACCATCATTTCAAACACAAACAATGAATAAGTACAATAATCTTAAAACTACTTCACAGGAAGATCACTTTGGTATAAGAGTTGATTCATTTCATTCAACAGAAAATGACATTTCTAAGAGTGATTCTCATGAAAACAAACTTTCATGGCTACGTTCACAGATTATTGGTGAAAATGTCGATTTCGAATCCCCTTTTGGGAAACGTAGGATGACTTATGCTGATCATACTGCCTCTGGAAGATGTCTTCATTATATCGAAAACTATATCATTAATAACGTCCTGCCTTTCTATGGTATGTTCGTTTACCTTAGTAACTATGTACGTACGTACTCCTTTATCTTTAACCAGAACTGAAAAATAACAACTATGATATTATTTTGTACAGGTAATAGTCATACTAGTGATAGTCATGTGGGATATCAAACGACGAAAATAGTGCATGAAGCAACAGCTTATGTGAAGAGATGCTTAGGTGGAGGAGATGAAGATGCTATTATATTTTGTGGTTCTGGTTCTACTGCTGCTATTAAAAGGCTACAAGAAGTTATGGGGATTTCAGTCCCTTCTATACTAAGAGAAAAAGTACTCACAAAATGCTTTCGTAACGAAATGAAAGAGAGATGGGTGGTGTTTGTTGGACCTTATGAACATCATTCTAACATTCTGTCATGGAGACAGAGTTTAGCTGAGGTTGTAGAGATTGGATTGGACGAAAACGGGCTAGTAGATATGGAAGCATTGAGGGATCAGCTTGAGTTGTATAAGTCTACGAATAGACCATTGTTGGGTTCGTTCTCAGCTTGTAGTAATGTTACTGGGACTTATTCTGATACAAGAGCCATCGCTCGTTTACTTCATAAAAATGGAGCTTTTGCTTGCTTTGATTTCGCAGCAAGGTATGTTAATTGAGTTTGACTTTTATACACTGACAGTACTAAGTATGTCACGGAAATATGACTAATTTATGGTGTTATGTTGCAGTGGTCCATACGCGAAAATAGAGATGAGATCAGGAGAGATGGATGGATATGATGCTGTTTTTATTAGTCCTCATAAGTTTCTTGGAGGTCCAGGCACACCTGGAGTTCTTGTAATGAACAAAGCACTCTATAGATTGAGGACTTCGCCTCCATCTACTTGTGGAGGTGGTACTGTTGATTTTGTTAACCCCTACAATGAAAAGGTATGTATGTACTAAGTTACGCGGACTCTTCATCTTCTGCTTAGCTCTCAAGATAATTCTGAACTTGATATATAATAAAATAAACAGGACACACTTTATGTGGAGAATATTGAAGAAAGGGAAGACGCTGGTACACCGCCAATCATTCAGAAAGTGAGAACAGCACTTGCATTTTGGGTGAAAGAGTTCATAAGTCATAAAGTAATTGAAAGAATGGAACACACTTACATTGAACTTGCATTACAAAGGCTTCTCCCAAATCCTAACATATGGATTTTGGGAAATGTAACAGCAAAGAGACAAGCTGTGCTTTCTTTTCTCATTTATACTACAACTCACTCTTCGTCAAGTGATGGAAATGGCGGAGACAATGAACTTTACTTGTGGAGAGAGACAGGGAACAAGAAAGATAAACCTCTTCATGGCCCTTTTGTCGCTAAGCTGCTTAATGACCTATTTGGTATTCAAGCTAGAGGAGGATGTGCTTGTGCTGGACCTTATGGACATAAGTTGCTTCAGGTTGATGAACCTCATTCTCTTGCTTTCAGAGATGCAATTGAAATGGTGAGCGCCTCCACGGCTCCACATATGTTTCTACATTCCATCCATGTTGGTAGTAGAAACATAACGCGATTTTCTTTGTCTTAACAGGGCTATAGTGGAGTTAAGCCGGGATGGACAAGGGTCAGCTTCCCCTATTACATGTCCAAGGAAGAATTTGTGTTCATTCTAGAAGCAATAGAATTCATATCCATTTATGGACAAAGGTTCCTCCCTTTGTATCATTTCAATTGGAGGAGTGGCGCGTGGACTTTCAAGAAAAAAGCTTTCAATTGCAAGTTTTGCTGTTCACAGATGACGAACGTATTGAATATAAATTGCCATAACACTAAGGAAAACAACCATGGTAGAGGTCTTGTTCACAAGTATGTAAAGTACATTGAGACAGCCAAACGCATCGCTAGTCTCCTTCCCAAGTTCCCACCTCAACGATCGATACCTGAAGAAATAGACCCAACTTTTGTACCCTTTAGAGTCTGAAGAGCATTAGCTTGCTCTGATACTTACCAATATGATCATACACTTAGCCAATTCTTTAAACTGCAGTAACAAAACAATTGAATTGTCAAGTTTCTGTTAGCCAAACAGTCTGTTAGACTGTTACTTAATACATAATATCCTTTTTGATCAACAACAAATGAGAGCGTAAAACACGAATCAATCAACACCAAATGAGAAATCAAAAAATACTTTATGTTTTTCTTAAAGAAAATACAAAATACATACTGAACAAGTAAAAACAAAACGAAGGGAATACATATACTTTGAAGTTATTATTACATATCAAACGATCGAATTTGCCCAACAAGACATTGGACAAAGTTTATTTTCATATACATATTTTTATCAGGCTCTAAAGGACACAAGATTAGTGTCTAGTTCTTCAGGTATTGGTCTCTGCTGTGGGAATTTAGGAAGGAGGCTAGCTACGCGCTTGGCTGTCTCAAGATACTTTACGTACTTATAAATAATGCCTTCTTTGTTACTGTTAGTGCATGATCCTTCTTTTGTGTTATCATGGCAAGTATTGGCACCACCTAAGTTCAACTCCTTCATCATTGGTGAGCCACAAAAGTTGCAATTGTGATCCATCCCTCTCGTAAGCGTCTCTTTCAAAGCTTTCTTTTTGAAAGTCCAAGCACCACTCTTCCAATTGAAATTGTATAAAGGAAGGAACCTTTGTCCATAAATGGATATGAATTCTAATGCTGCTAGAATGAACTCAAATTCTTCTTTCGACATGTAGTAGGGAAAGCTTATCCTTGTCCATCCCGGCTTAACTCCAGTATAGCCCTATATATCAAGTGAAAAGTTAACGTTAAAAAGATAATTATATAGTACATAAGTTAAAATCCTTTATTTATCGAAACTCACCATTTCAATTGCATCTTTGAAGGCAAGAGAATGAGGTTCATCAACCTTAAGCAACTTATGTCCATAAGGTCCAGCACAAGCACACCCTCCTCTAGCTTGAATGCCAAATAGGTCATTAAGAAGCTTAGCTACAAAAGGACCATGAAGAGGTTTATCTTTCTTGTTCCCTGTCTCCCTCCATAAGTAAAGTTCATTGTCTCCGCCACTCCCATCACTTGACGAAGAGTAAGTTGTAGTATATATGAGAAAAGAAAGCACAGCTTGTCTCTTTGCTGTTACATTTCCTAAAATCCATATGTTTGGATTTGGGAGAAGCCTTTGTAATGCAAGTTCAATGTAAGTGTGTTCCATTCTTTCAATTACTTTATGACTTATGAACTCTTTCACCCAAAATGCAAGTGCTGTTCTCACTTTCTGAATGATTGGCGGTGTACCAGCGTCTTCCCTTTCTTCAATATTCTCCACATAAAGTGTGTCCTGTTTATTTTATTATATATCAAGTTCAGAATTATCATGAGAGCTAAGCAGAAGATGAAGAGTCCGCGCAACTTAGTACATACATACCTTTTCATTGTACGGGTTAACAAAATCAACAGTACCACCTCCACAAGTAGATGGAGGTGAAGTCCTCAATCGATAGAGTGCTTTGTTCATTACAAGAATTCCAGGTGTGCCTGGACCTCCAAGAAATTTATGAGGACTAATAAAAACAGCATCATATCCATCGATCTCTCCTGATCTCATCTCTATTTTCGCATATGGACCACTACAACATAACACCATATATTAGTCATCTTTTCGCGACATACTTAGTATGTCAGTATACAAAAGTCAAACTCAATTAACATACCTTGCTGCGAAATCAAAGCAAGCAAAAGCTCCATTTTTATGAAGTAAACGAGCGATGGCTCTTGTATCAGAATAAGTCCCAGTAACATTACTACAAGCTGAGAACGAACCCAACAATGGTCTATTCGTAGACTTATACAACTCAAGCTGATCCCTCAATGCTTCCATATCTACTAGCCCGTTTTCGTCCAATCCAATCTCTACAACCTCAGCTAAACTCTGTCTCCATGACAGAATGTTAGAATGATGTTCATAAGGTCCAACAAACACAACCCATCTCTCTTTCATTTCGTTACGAAAGCATTTTGTGAGTACTTTTTCTCTTAGTATAGAAGGGACTGAAATCCCCATAACTTCTTGTAGCCTTTTAATAGCAGCAGTAGAACCAGAACCACAAAATATAATTGCATCTTCATCTCCTCCACCTAAGCATTTCTTCACATAAGCTGCTGCTTCATGCACTATTTTCGTCGTTTGATATCCCACATGACTGTCACTAGTATGACTATTACCTGTACAAAATAATACAATAGTTGTTATCTTTCCCTTCTGGTTAAGGATAAAGGAGTATCGTACGTACATAGTTACTAAGGTAAACGAACATACCATAGAAAGGAAGGACGTTATTGATGATATAATTTTCGATATATTGAAGTGATCTTCCAGAGGCAGTATGATCAGCATAAGTAAGCCTACGTTTCCCAAAAGGCGAATCGAAATCGACATTTTCACCAATAATCTGTGAACGTAACCATGAAAGTTTTTTTTCAGCAGATTCAGTTTTGGAAATAGCTTTTTCCCTAACATGAAATGATTCAATTCTACTTCTCAAATCTTCATGTGAAGCAACAGAGGAAACAGTACTACTAATAGAACTACTATGGTTATATTTCTTAGTGTTGTGGTGTTCTCTAAACATTGGTTGTTCAAATTCCATTTTGATTCAAAAGTAAAAAGAAAATAACTAAAAGCTTAGAAATTTAGATGAGAAAGATGAATAAAAAAGAACATTTGTGTTTTAAGTGTGTTTAAAATGATGAAAAGTGACAGCTATTTATAGGAAAGATATGGTTGAGATGAATTAATAAATAAAGGAACAATAATGAAAGGAACTTGCTACACACAACAACCCAACAAAGTTCACATCTCAGATCTCGAATTTGAGCTTTAAATATGAAGCGTCATCCCAGAATAGATTCTGTGATATACAATTTAAATTTAGATTGAATTTTACGGTGGATAAGTGCACTCCATATATAAATATGTTGTTTTTATTTTTACAATTTTTATCTAATATAATAAGTATCATACATTTATGATATACTTACGATAGGTTGAGTATACACGACTTGGTATTTTCTATAATACACAAATGGATTTAAATGTTTGTCTAATTATACTTAGTCCAACTTCCATTATAACTTCCAATCAGGTCTTAATATTTTAATTTTAAAATCATAAAATAAATTGATATAATCATATTTATTAAGTTCAGTATAATATATTTATCTAATCATGTAATTCACTCTAAATATTTTATAGTGTCAATTTTTGTAATTTATAGTATTGTTTATGAAGTTTACGAATATATGAGTTTTATTTTTAAATTTTTTGAAGATTTCATGAGCTAATTCTTGATCAAATTTAAACTTTTTGAATCTCGAAAATCTAAATACACCACATAAATTAAAATAAATGAAGTACTATTTTATGACAAAAAATCTAAAATAAAATAATTTTAAAGATAATACTTCAATAAATTCTAAAGTTTAGTTTTGAATATATGATGGTGTTTCGTTTGATCGGAAACAAATTATTTTGAGATTAATTATCTCATTACGTATATGAAATAACTTATTCTATCACTATTGTATAAATAGCGAAATAGATGATTCAAAAATTACCTAATACCTCCAATCAAACATATAATAAAATAATTGTATATTCTATCATTAAATTATTATACTTTATACCTCATACCGAACGACTCCTTAAAGTAATTTATTTCACAAAAGATAGTACAAAGACCAAAAAAAATAAAATAATCTAAAATTCATTCTATTCGTGACTTAGTAGAAGTCAACTAAAATATATCTATCTATACAATAACTTGTAATCTACCGTTTTGTCAAGTGGATATATATAGTGCCTTAAATTAACCGCAGCATGCAATAAAAGAACAATTTTTTCCCACAAACTTACTAAAATAACTTAGGACATAATATTTTATATGTTCTTTTAGTACCATTATTAAGAATAGGTCTTAGAGTTAAATAGGATTAGATTGATTTATTTAATAAAAATAAGATTTAAATAATCAGAATTGAACAAAAATGATAAAAGTAGTATTGTTTAAAATGTTTACTAAAATTTTAAAATTAGTTTCAAAATTTTATAAAACGAAATTTATGAATATTTGAATAAGATGCATTGGTATTATATGTTATCTGTTGTGTTTCGATTATCGCACTATTTTTTTTATTATCAATGATTTTTTCTTGAATGTTCTTTACTGCTTTACGTATATATTGTCGTGTTTTTTCGCACTAGCCTTTTTTCTTTGTAAGACAACTATTTCGATTTGTTGTGGTTGAATCAAGGGTCCTTCGAGAATAACTTCTCGACCTTTACGAGATAAAAGATAAACTCTTTATGTTTATTCTTACACAGATCTCACTTGCGAAATTTTATTGGATATATCGTTATTATTTCATTGGTATTTGTTTGTAAGTTGTTGTTTCCTTTTTGACTTTTTTTTATTCATGCCACGGTCAAGGTTTAATTTGCTTATATTTTATTACATTTTAATTAAAAAATATCCATTATTTTGTCCATTATTCATGCATCTAATTTTCTTGGATACTCAGAATTTACTTAGTCATGAATCATGATTAACGGAGTTGAGTATGTGTTGGAATATTGAGATTATAAAGTTTCTCAATAGAAAATTTATTTTAGAAAAAATTCTTCTTCAAAATATAATCTATTGATTTCGTGTGATCATAGGTAAATTGAGAATTTGAACTTTTTATAATAATTTTATATTAGTTTATAATGATAATTGGATTCACAATAAAATATTTATACAGTTAAATGATTTTAGTACATAGACAGGATATAAGCAAAAAAATATTGAACTCATTCTTCATACGACATATTTTTATATAATAACAATTTAATTTTTAAATGTTCTTCCTATAATTCTGAATATATAATATTTTATAACTACACGAATATCTATGATACTGTATCAGATAAATTGAAACGGAGAAAATACTTTCTAGGATAAAAACGATATTTGATAAAATACAAAAGCTAAATTTTCTTTTTACATCACACAAAGATTAAACAAAGAACCAAGTAATATAAAAGGTCTTTTAAAAACTTCTATTGAATTTTCTTTAC